TTACAAGCAACTCTATGCCAATAAAATGGACAACCTGGAAGAAATAGACAAATTCTTAGAAAGGTATAACTTTCCAAGAGTGAACCAGGAAGAAATAGAAAATATGAACAGACCAATCACAAGTAATGAAATTGAAACTGTGATTAAAAATCTTCCAACAAACAGAAGTCCAGGACCAGATGGCTTCACAGGCGAATTCTATCAAACATTTAGAGAAGAGCTAACACCCATCCTTCTAAAACCCTTCCAAAAAATTTCAGAGGAAGGAAGACTCCCAAACTCATTCTATGAGGCCATCATCACCCTGATACCAAAACCAGACAAAGATGTCACAAAGAAAGAAAACTACAGGCCAGTATCACTGATGAACATAGATGCAAAAATCCTCAACAAAATACTAGCAAACAGAATCCAACAACATATTAAAAGGATCATACACCATGATCAAGTGGGAATTACCCCAGGGATGCAAGGATTCTTCAATATACACAAATTTATCAATGTGATACACCATATTAACAATTGAAGAATAAAAACCATATGATCATCTCAATAGATGCAGAAAACGCTTTTGACAAAATTCAACAGCCATTTATGACAAAAACTCTCCAGAAAGTGGGCATAGAGGGAAGCTACCTCAACGTAACAAAGGTCATATATGACAAACACACAGCAAACATCATTCTCAATGGTGAAAAACTGGAAGCATTTCCTCTAAGATCAGGAACAAAGATGTCCATGCTCACCACTATTATTCAACATAGTTTTGGAAGTCTTAGCCACGGCAATCAGAGAAGAAAAAGAAATAAAAAGAATACAAATTGGAAAAGAAGAAGTAAAACTGTCACTGTTTATAGATGACATGATACTATACATAGAGAATCCTAAAAATGCTACCAGAAAACTACTAGAGCTAATCAATGAATTTGGTAAAGTTGCAGGATACAAAATTAATGCACAGAAATCTCTTGCATTCCTATACACTAACGTTGAAAAATCTGAAAAAGAAATTATGGAAACACTCCCATTTACCACTGCAACAAAAAGAATAAAATACCTAGGAATAAACCTACCTAGGGAGACAAAAGACCTGTATGCAGAAAACTATGACACTGATGAAAGAAATTAAAGATGGTACAAACAGATGGAGAGATATACCATGTTCTTGGATTAGAAGAATCAATATTGTGAAAATGACTATACTAACCAAGCAATCTATAGATTCAATGCAATCACTATCAAATTACCAATGGCATTTTTTATAGAACTAGAACAAAGTATCTTAAAATATGTATGGAGACACAAAAGACCCCGAATAGCCAAAGCAGTCTTGAGGGAAAAAAACAGAGCTGGAGGAATCAGACTCCCGGACTTCAGACTATAGAACAAAGCTACAGCAAACAAGACAATATGGTATTGGCACAAAAACAGAAATATAGATCAATGGAACAGGATAGAAAGCCCAAAGATAAACCCACACACCTATGGTCAACTAATCTATGACAAAGGAGGCAAGGATATACAGTGGAGAAAAGACAGTCTCTTCAATAAGTGGTGCTGGGAAAACTGGACAGCTACATGTAAAAGAATGAAATTAGAACACTCCATAATACCACACACAAAAATAAACTCAAAATGGATTAGAGACCTAAATGTAAGACTGGACACTATAAAACTCTTAGAGGAAAACATAGGAAGAACACTCTTTGCCATAAATCACAGCAAGACCTTTTTTGATCCATCTTCTAGAGTAATGGGAATAAAAACAAAAATAAACAAATGGGACCTAATGAAACTTAAAAACTTTTGCACAGCAAAGGAAACTACAAACAAGACGAAAAGACAACCCTCAGAATGGGAGAAAATATTTGCAAACAAATCAATGGACAAAGGATTAATCTCCAAAATATATAAACAGCTCATGTAGCTCAATATTAAAAAAACAAACAACCCAATCCAAAAATGGGAAGAAGACCTAAATAGACATTTCTCCAAAGAAGACATACAGATGGCCAAGAAGCACATGAAAAGCTTCTGAACATCACTAATTATTAGAGAAATGCAAATCAAAACGACAATGAGGTTATCACCTCACATCAGTTAGAACGGGCATCATCAGAAAATCTACAAACAACAAATGCTGGAGAGGGTGTGGAGAAAAGGGAACCCTCTCACACTGTTGGTGGGAAAGTAAATTGATACAGCCACTATGGAGAACAGTATGGAGGTTCCTTAAAAAATGAAAAATAGAATTGCCATATGAGCCAGCAATCCCACTACTAGGCATATATCTGAGAAAACCATAATTCAAAAAGACACATGCACCCCAATGTTCATTGCAGCACTACTTACAATAGCCAGGACATGGAAGCAACCTAAATGCCCATCGACAGACGAATGGATAAAGAAGATGTGGTACATATATACAATGGAATATTACTCAGCCATAAAAAGGAACGAAATTGGGTCATTTGTAAAGACGTGGATGGATCTAGAGACTGTCATACAGAGTGAAATAAGTCAGAAAGAGAAAAACAAATATTGTATATTAACGCATATAGGTGGAACCTAGAAAAATGGTACAGATGAAGCGGTTTGCAGGGCAGTTAATTGAGACACGGATGTAGAGAACATATGGACACCAAGGGGGGAAAGTGGTGGGGGGAGGTGGTGGTATGATGAATTGGGAGATTGGGTTTGACATATATACACTAATATGTATAAAATGGATAACTAATAAGAACCTGCTGTATAAAAAAATAAAATAAAGTTCAAAAATCAAAAAAAAATTTATATAAAGTTCACCAACAGGGAAAACTTATCTAAATGAAAGGGGTCAGAATAGTGGTTACCTTCCAGAGGGGATAATGCCTAGTAAGTAGTAGGCGACAGGTTAAAGAATGCAGTAATGTTATATTTCTTGATCTGTATGGTAGTTACATGGGTGTATTCGCTTTGCTAAATTTCATCAAGCTGAATACTGACAATTTGTGTGCTTTTTAATATGTGTGTACTAGAATTTTAAAGTTTATAAAAATGTAGAGAGAGGTTTGGTGTTAACTATGGGCAACTTTTTTTTTCTTTCTGGCCTTATTTTCAAGAATTTGTCTAATGAGCATATATGGAAATAATGGAGGGGAGCAACTTTTAAAAAATAGCAGAACTGAGATTCTGTGAGGTTCCCACCAAATCTAAGTATCGTGTGTAATTTAAACACAGTGTAACTGCAAAACATTGGGCTGCTAGACATGCTGAAAATGATGACCTAGAATGAATTCATCGTTAAGGTGGGGAATAAGAAATAAAGCTTTGGAAGCCTAAGTTACAAATAGAGTATGTTGAAGTTTATCTTCAAAACAGTTAATCATGTGATATCCAGACTTTTAAAGTACTTGGGGTATCATTATGAAATCCCAAATTCTATTGCCCTTTTTTCTTGAAACTTGATTACAAAATTCACATTCTATTTTTGATACTCTCTTACTGCCTTAGCTTTCAGAAAGCAAACTGAAGGCACTTATTAGCCCAAAAGTCTACAATAAATGGCACAATATCTTCTGAATAACAAACCTTGCATGATGAGTCATGAAAACTTTTAAGCTCCCATATGCCAACATGGAGTAACATATTTTGTCTGAACTGAAAAATAAAATTTAAATATAACCCAATGAGACAACCTCAGGGATTTTTAAAAATGAACCTAAATTTTAATAAGGATATCGGGACAGGGCAATGAGGAGGGATGTGTGTACTGTATGTTGCAGAGCATTTGTCCTTCCTTTTGTAAATTTTTCTTTAAATGTAATCATATTTTTTTTCTAGAAGTAGAAACTCTAATTTAATTCCTCTGTTCCCTTGTGTTTTGCATAACATAACTAAAGTTTATGGTGAACTTTCTACTCAGTATTCTAAAGGGACTCTTCTGTTCAGAAGTTTCCATTTATCTGTACTCCATTAGAGCCCTCCAAGCTAAGAGCAAGCTCATGCCCAAACTCCCTTATGCCTTTGTATGTTTCTCAGGAATTAATCCAAGGAAGTGACCCCTGTTGTCCACATCAGTAGTTGGTTTCTTATTTGCTATTTAACATGCCCCACATCATTCTGCACTCTGCTTAAGCAAACTGTTGTTGTTTTTTTTTTTTTTGGCCGCGCACCATGTGGCTTGCAGGATCTTAGTTTCCTGACCAGGGATTGAACCCACACCCTTGGCAGTGAAAGTGCGGAGTTCTAACCAGTGGACCACCAGGGAAATTCCCAAGCAAACCGTCTTTGTCACCATAAAAATGGCTCTAACTCTCAATCTAAAAAGACAATGGGGAGCTGACCACCCCATTCAAAAAGATAACAAACGGATCTACTGCTCCCTGGACTCATCTATTCTCTGAATGATACTTCAAGCTCAGTCCCTATCATTTTCCAGGCTTTCTTGTGACTACCACTTTGAAATATCTACTGTTTTAATAAGCCCAACATTTCTCTCTCCTTCTGGTAATAACACTTCTCCCTTTTTGTAGGAATTAACCTTTCCCCATCCCACGTGGCTCTGGGAGGACTGCCAATCACAATTCCTTACACGGGCTGGACAAGCATGATACTCAATTCTTGGCTACAGTGACAGGTCCAAAGGATGGACACAGGACCCATGCGCACAATCAGAGTGTGCTTCCCTGGAATGGTATAGGCTAGTGCCGGAAAAGTTCCCTGTGTCCTCTGACGTCTGTAGCTGAGAGACTGGAAACCTGCAGCCATCCTTGGTCACGGCATCACTAGGCTACCTGCTCCCGTAGCGTGAAAGAAATCTATCAGCAAAAGGAGTGCAAGAGGCCAATGACCAGAGAGAAACACAGCCAAGAGATGGAAAAAGAGAGAGTCTAAGAGAATACTGACAGTGTCACGTGAGTCCCCGTAGGCCAATGTCAGCACCAATCTGGAATTTTCCAGCAACATAAACCACTAAATTCCTTTGTTTCCTCAGGCCAATTTAAATTGGGTTCTGTTACCCTGAACCAAAGTCTTAAAACACCAAAACCCTGCAGTGGTGGTGATGCCAATCACTAGCTGCTCTCCCCAACTCCTTACAGCTAACCGGAGGAGCGTGTATCTCAGGGCGTGGACTGTGGGGCATTCTGCATGGGAGATTTCCAGGTCGACCATTCCAGGTCTAAAAAGTGAATCCAGTCCCAGGAGCCCAGGATTACCAACCTGCACGTCCCCTGAGTTCTCTGTGGGCCCCACCCAGAAGCCAGACTCCAGGCTTTCATGCTGGGCAGCCAGGCTCAGGGGATGCTGTGTGGTGAGCATGGACAGCCATGGGCCCTGCCCTGTGCTGAAGCACGTGTTTCTGTCATCACCAGTATCTATTCCGTGCAAAGTAACTGATCCCTCCGTGTTCAAGAAACAGGTGATAGGGATTGTTACCTTTGCTTTCAGCAGATCCATCAAGGGAAAAAAGTTAACCTGGACCTAGAACCAAGCAGAAGTTCTTAGGAGGAGAGATCTAGATTTTTCAACAGGGACCACTCTGAGAGATATGAATGGACATACCTTAATGGGTATTCATGTTAGACTTATTATTATTATTAGAAAATATCCTTGATTCTCACCACCAGATGACAATAACTGAGTGACAAAAACAGGCCGGGCAATTAGGCAAATGGTAACTTAGGCAACAAGGCCCTGGGGCAAGAGACACCTAGGTTTGAATCCCAGCTTGACAGTTACTAGCTATTCTCCTTGAGCAAATTACTTAAATTCTCTAGGCCTCAGTTTCTCCTTTAGCAAAAAGGGAAAAATAGTGTCTACCTTAAGGACTTGTGAAGAATAAATAGGATAATGTACACAAAATGCTCAGCGAAGTGTCCAGCATATAATAATACATTATTAATCAATGAAGTACATATACAAAATGTCGATTTTTATCTTCTCTCTACATCAACAATATATATTAGTAGAACTATTCTATAGGCACTATCATAAAATAAATCCTTATTTATAACATTATGATAGCAATGAAACTATCACATATGAAATCATCAAGCCAAAGATATTTGAACATAATATTATTGAATATTTTAATCGAATCTATCTCTGTGCATCTTCACATGTATAGGATGTAGGCATCACCATTAAAAGGACCAAACAGAAAAGAAGAAACTTTATGTTTACTGTCATCCAGAAATGCCTCACTTTCTTGAATTATAAAATGTCCACACTTTCTGACTTCAGGAGAGTTAAAATTAATCTCATACCAGATCAGCAGAAGCCAACGTATGTCACTGTCCTACGCATACATTGGTACATGTCTTTTGGGGAGGCAGTTTGTCAGTATCTATCACAATATAAAATGTACACATTCTTCGACCCCAGCCATTCTACCTCTAGAAATATCAACTACAGAAATACCCATGCATACGCTCCAGAAAAGCACATATAAGTATGTCTGCTACAGTATTGCTTGTAATAGTGGACAAAGTACCCATCAGTAGGAATGCTGAGACACAGAACAGAGACTGAGTTGACAAACTAGAAGTCCAGGGATTCTTCCAAAAGCCACATGTAGGTGAACACTGGCCTCTGAATCATTCAACAAAAATTCATTGAGTGTCCTCCCCATGCCAGGCCTTGTGCTAGGCATGTAAGAACAATAGTGGCTAAGACAGACTCTGGCCCTTTAGCCAGAAGAAGAAAACCCAAAACCAGATTCCATATTCTCCCAATCCAAGGAGGTTCTTATAAGATTGTTTTTAATAACACACTTGATTTTTAGTTTATAACTTCAACGAAGGCTCAATAATGCCCACTGAAAGCACTGGGGCAAACTTTTGTATGAAACGGAAATAAATCTTCATTGAGCCTTTGACATCACATAATCATAGTTTTGATAATTTCTTATGTCATCTCACTGTTTATCTCTCCTGAGTTTTCTGTCAAATAGCTGTAATTTCTTTCTGGTGTCTTGCCAAAAATCAATAAACAATTTTACCCCTTATAATTTTTGTAATAAATTGCACTAAAAGGAATAGGTTTCCTCTAGAATTACTGGAACACCTTGCACGTATTAAAGTGAAACTTTCTTAACCAATAAATTATAAAAAATACAACCAGGGCTTCCCTGGTGGTGCAGTGGTTGAGAGTCCGCCCGCCGATGCAGGGAACACGGGTTCGTGCCCCGGTCCGGGAAGATCCCACATGCCGCAGAGCGGCTGGGCCCGTGAGCTATGGCCTCTGAGCCTGCGCATCCAGAGCCTGTGCTCTGCAGCGGGAGAGGCCACAACAGTGAGAGGCCCGTGTACCACAAAAAAAAAAAAAAAAAAAAAAAACCAGGTACAAAATTAGGGTAATAATAGCTCAGTTCTGTAATCAAGTACTAATATAAAGTAGTATTTCTAGATAAATTACTATAATTTAGTTATGAATAAACAACATTAAAACAAGATACTAATAGAAACAAGAACTGTTTCAATTCTTCCACGTATACTTCAAGGATTTTATTCCCCATAATTTCACATATTTCAGGGATAAATAACACATCATAAAAACAATCATGACAATTAGTACAGTTTTGCTTAGGGCCCAAATAAAATAAAACAAAGAGCCTGAAATAATTTACCAAGTTCCTACTTCCCTTACCATTTCCATTCAATTTGCCATATTAGTCTTAAATAAGAATTAAGGTCATTCATTATGTGGGCTTCAGACATACATGGTAGTTTCTGCATAGCGTAGTGACAAGCAAAGTTATAGCAGAAATCTAAAGAAAGCTAACTATTTTGTTTTCTGTCACTTCACAAATATTTGTTTAGTTCCTGTATCAGGATTTTTGGAACCCCAAACAAGACTAAATTTTTTTAAAAACTGAGTTTTAACATCTCATTTTTAACTTCCACTGTTCTGAATTTCTGGGAGATTGCCTTGTTATAATATATTTTCTCTACCTATTTTCATTTGCTACCACTGAAATACCAATCTAGCAGACCTTTCACTTTATTATCCAGAAAGCACACTTGGTATGAAAAGAAGGATGTCCTTTGCTGAACGTGATTCTTTTGTGGTTAAGGAAGGTGAAGTGGCCTGCTCTGAATATGTGAGGACCTTAGACCCTCAAGTCACTGTATAGGATTGTCTAATTATGAAACATTTTATCCACCAACATGGTGGACGTATGGTGAAGTTCTAAAATTATTATTATTTACACTTTACATATACTTACCAAAATGTTCCATATTTCTTTGATATTTTTTAAAAACCACTTTTTAAAACCCTATACTTAAAATTCCTAAGAATACATAAGGGAAAAGGTCAAGGATGTGTGTTCACTTTGAATGAGCATAGGCTGTGGAAAATACACAGTGCCCATATTGTAGTCTCTTTGAAGTGCATACAGGGCAGGAGACAAGTAACTTAGACATCCAGTAACTGACAACCTGTAACCACTTCTGGGATGTTTTCCATCCCAGTGTGATCACCTCCTTGTTATGGCACCTCTGTATGATTACTCGTGGCATGCTACTGTTCAATACTTTCATTGATTTATTTCTGGAAATATGATTTCCACTTTTTTGTGGCACGCAGAAGGAAAAACCTAGCTGCTGAATTAGCTTCTGAGATTCGTGAGAGATTTAGATGAAACTAGGTCACATATGGAATTAAATATACCTATAAACAGATAATCATTTTTCATCTACAAAATCAAATAATCACTTAAAGAGAAAATCTGCTCTAGCTCAGAAAAAAACCCCAAAACTCTAAATTATGTGAAATTTGAGTCTATAATTTAATCTTTGCAGTGTGACAGAGTATAAGGATTAATAAACATACCAAAAATCCCCAAACAAACCTGTTTTCCTTTATTTATTTATTTTGCTAAAGCATTTAAACAGTATGCTAAGTCTTCAAAAGAAATAATAAATCACTACGAAACCAGATGAAATCACAAGCCTGTCCTTAGGAAAACAATAAATCGATTTTTAAACCTATGGTTTGCAGCTCCATTAAAGCAGACATGCCTCTTGGTTAAGGAAATTGGGGGGAGGAAGAGACATAGCTGGTGGTCAACTCGCATTTTCGTCCAGTATTACCTACTGAAACAGATGGCATCTTGGGGGTGCTTAATCTCCCAGAATAGGTGCCTATGAGCAAGATGACTCTTAAATCTTCCAGATCTCAGGAAGCGTTTTGCCCAAGTCCGTGGGAATATAGCCCTAATTAGCCTACACTTTCCTCTTGCCCCAGATTTTGATTCTTACTCATTGTTCCAGCAATCTGAATTCTGCCCCCACACGACCGGAATGAAAATGCTCTTACCTTGACCTCTTCTGAGTCCCAATCCTGGCCCATCTCTTTGCTGGGCTCCACGGAGGAGCCTTTCAGCAGTCCTCACCACCAGGCCCACCGAAACACAGAGAGACAGGTGTTTGCTTCCCCCTGGCCTTCCACGTCGCTGCACTCCCTCAATTCTTCCTGTTGCTCTGCCCCTTCTCAGGCCCCTCTGTGCTCTAGAATTTAAAGGTAAGGGTGTATCCTGGGGTTTTATCTTAAGCCCTCATCCTTTTCACTTCTCATGCTCTCCTTCAATCTCACACACATGATGATCACCATGAGGGTCCCGGGCAGGCACTCAATCAATATCTGTAAGAAGAATGTCACCCTCATCCATTCTGGCGGCCACCCATATAAGAGACTATCTAATCTGGATCTCCATCCAACTACCTTCTCTGACCACCATGTCCCCCCAATGAATGGCTGAGAGACTACAACTCGCATGAATGGGTTGGAGTCTATGATTCTAGTTTGACATTTTCCACTATGGGATTATTTCAGGTAATTGTGGCTCTCTCTGTCTCTCCCTTCTGGTTTACAGTCTTCACGTAACAGAAAGAGCATGGCTTTGGAGTCAGACGGATTTAAATCTGGGGTCAGTCAGTTACTAGCTATGTAACTATACCTTTGAAATTCTGCAGGATTACAGGGGGAAATGTATACATGTAAAATATCTATATGTTTATATTTTTAAAAACTTACTCAGAGCCTAGTGAGGTTTGTTTGGTTGGTTTTTCTTCCCTTTATTTTTTTTTAACTCACTTTGCAAAGCTCCTTACATGCTTTATTTAATTGAATTCTCCTAATAACCTATCAGTAGATCTAGAGGAAGAAGCTGAGCTTGGCTGGGAACAACTAAGAAGTGGTAGAATCAGATTCAAACCTAGGTCTGCTGGCTTTAAAGTCCTAGTTCTTTCCATTGCATAAAGTGCCTCCAGGATGCTAGGTGGGTGGGGTGAGGAGACACACAAACGGAAAATCACAGCGTTAACAGGAAAAGTGCTGTGCGAGAGGTATGGAGAAAACGCTGTGGGGGTCCTGAGGAAAGAGACTCTGCTTCTGGCTCAGGAAATCACGGAGGGCTTCACAGAGATGGTGTGATGGAGTCGTCTCTTGGACAA